GCCGGCCCGCCATGGCGGCGGCGTGGGCCCTGTGTCGCTGCCAGCTCAGCCAGCCCTGACTGTTACCCAGAGAGGAAGGAGGTGAACATGAGCAGGATCCCCAGGCTGGTGCATGAGGGGTTTTCTAGGGAGATGCTGCTCTCTGGAGGACATGACACAGCGGCTGGCAATGGCACTGGGGACATCAGCCTCCAGGCCAGGGGAGATGGGCTGACTGGGGACACTGGGCCCTCTAACAGGAGGCTAGGAGGAGGTCAGCTGAAACTGGAGGACTTGTGTTGGGTGAAGGAGGCTTTGAGGAAGCCCAGCATATCCCAGTTAAGGGATATAAACCCTATAAACCCCAGCAGGTTACAGACAAGGGTTTGACTGTTGCTAAACTGGGCTGGGGTGGCCAGAAGAAAGCCCTGGTCATTCCGGAGCTGTCTCCCCTGTCCGTTGTGTGTGCTGAGCATGTTTGCAGCAGTCCTCGCTCCAACAGAGATCTCTTTTGCCTAGAGGGTAGCTCAGGACCAGCTCAACATCCAGCACTGGCTGGACTACGGCGCGTTCTGCCTCCTGCTTGAGGAAACAACCAAAGCCCAGGAGTGCTTCCGCCAGGCTCTTTCTCTGGACACCCATCACATCCCAAGGTGCTGCATGCTCCCGGGGGGTGGGTGGGAGGGTGGGGGTGTCCCCAACACCACTGCCTGGGCCCTGCATGGCTAACTTTTTTTTCTGCCCCCTCCCCATCCCCAGCTTGCTGCTCTGTGGGATCACGGCTGTCGTGCTGCAGCACTATGAAGAGGCAGAGGTTTTCTTTGAGGATGCTTGCTGCTTGGAGCCATCCAGCATTGTCGCCTGGACGCTTTCAGGTACAAAAGCAAGCCAGCCTGTTTTATTCCTGCAGAGCTGAGCATTGCTTCTGCCCCTGCTCCTCGTCTTCCTGCTCTAATCCGAGGGCTAAGGGAAGGATTTTGTTCAGGGACGGATGCCTGCTCATGCTGCTCTTTCTCTCTCCCCTAGGTTTGTTTTATGAGCTGCAGAATAATACTGTTCAGGCAGAAATGGCCTTCCGGGAGGCTAGGAAGCTACTGCAAGCACAGCTCGCCAAGGAGAGGAGCATCCCTGAGGCTGCTGAGGGAGAAGGAGGGGAAAAGCACACTTCTGCTGCGTGTGTGAGCTCTCCCAGCCCAAGCCCAGCAGAGCCCTTGCCAGGTAACGCCCAGCAAAACCAGGAGGTGCCCCAGCACCAGCGAGGTGTGGGAGATGGCGAACAGTGAGACCTAAGAGGAGAAATACAAGGGTAAAAAGAGAAGGTGAGGGCTGTGAGTTAGGACAGACTGACCACTAACTACACAAGCGAGAGACAACAGCAGCAGTGTGCTGTTTTAAATGATGAAGCTTTCTGAAAGCAGCACAGCCGGTGCCTTGTCTCACCCGCAGCCTGGCAGAGGGACCAGTCTTCACATTTATTTTTCTGGCCCAGCCCAGTGCCACCAATATATCGATGTGTGGGCAGCGGCCAGGGTGGCCGGAGGAAGCGAGGGTACTTTTTGAGGCTTCGGGAGGGCAGAGTACATTGGGGTCATCCAGATTTAGCTTCCGTGAAAGCTGTTGCTGTGACTTCCCAACGCAGCTTGGAAAGCACTGCCTCACCGATTCCAAGAGTGACCCTGAACCAAAGGCTTCCTTTGGAGCCTCACTGAGTCCAGCCTCGCCCTGAGCCAAGACTTTCTGTCCCGAGTCCCAGATATTTGGCCAGGCTGTGGGAAGTGCCGGCTGGTTTTATTTTTAACGTTATCACCACTCCCTGCAGAGTGCCTTGGGCAGGCAGACGTCATGTCATACACCTTTTTTTGCCCTTTGCAACTATGAGAGAAGGGATATTGCCTCATTTATACCTGTTTCCATCTTCACGTGATCATCTTGTACTCAAAACCACAAACCCAGCTTTTGCTTCTGCAAAAAATTTCTTCCCAGTTCTGAGAATCTGATAGATCTTTTCTATTTTACCTCCTCCCCATTTTTGCAGAATTGTGCTCCAAACTGGGCAGTATGGCAAACTCTTTGGTTGCATCTAATGGTTGTTGGGGTTTCATTGCAGATGGCTCAGCTGAAAGGCTGCCGGAGGCGGTGGATCCTGCCCTGGCCAGCGGAGCCCCCGAGGAAGAGGCTGCTGCGCCGGAGGCAGCCCCAAAAGGTGAGGGATGGAAGGGAGAGCCCAGTGCTGGGGGATGGCCTCGTGCAGTCGGTGGGGAGGGGAGTAGCTTGGGAATGCTGAACTGTGGCCGTCCCGATGCCAAGGCAGGACATGAGGGCTTGTTCTCTGTCCCTAGCCAGGGAATCTCCAGCACAGCAGGTTCATCTCGATTTCCCAAGCAGCCCATCTCAGAACGGACAGCCGGCGGGTGAATGCATCTTCCTGCCTACATGGCACTGGACTGGCTGCTCGGATGTTTCCTTCCTGAGATGCCAGCTCTCAAACCGTCCCTGCGGATCTCCTGGGGTTGGGTGTTGTGCGATCTGCCTCCTCTACGGCTCCACTCTCCAATGGGTGGCAAAGAGGTGGCAGAGCTGAGTCCTTCAGGCCCCACTGGGCTGGTTTCGGGGAGCAGGGACATGTTTCAATCATAAATTCCTGCCTATTCTTCCTCTGAGTTTGGACTGGTAAATTAGGGAGTGAAGAACTTAATTTATTTTCGCCTCTTACAAAAACTTAAGCCCTTCAGAAAGAAATGCCAGGTTAATCTCTGCTCCAGCCTCACCTGCCACCTCCCGGGTTTTACACCATGTTGCTGGAATTCCTCTGGCCCCACCAGGGTTTCAGCCCCTGCTCTTGCTTCAGAAATAAAAAGCCCAGTTTGGGACTGATGAAGACACGTTTTCTTGCAGCACCATCCGCTGTTTCAGGACTCAGCCAACCTCCCTGCACAATCTTCATGAAGACAGTGGAATTCCTGATGAAAGTCAACGCCATCCAGGTCAGCTCAGCACAGAGCGGAGGAGCGGGAAGGGAAGTTTGGTCTCTGTCCCTGGGCTATGACCAAAGAGCTGGTGGCCAGCTCCAGCGAGCCCCCTTCTTGGGCTTAGAGAGCAAGCTGTGGCTACACCACCACTGCCCAGAAATGCAAAGCTGTGGCCAGGCAAGAGCGTTCAGCCCAGAATGCTGCTTGGGGATGCAGGTGTCCCAGGCAAGCAAGGTTCTGGGGGTGTCTCAGCTCAGCACTGCTTCTGTGGGGGGAACAGCTGGGTCAGAAACGCTGCAGATGTGCTCTTCTCTGCACATTCGGAGATGAGATCCATTACTGTGATGCTTCCAAGACGCCAGTGCTCTTTTCTTGTTTCAGATGCTTGTGTATGTCAGAGGAATTTTTGTGTCACCTGTGCAATGTCCCTGTCCCACACAGCTGTCTGTGGGATCTCTCTGACTGCCACATTACGCTGCCTGCCTTAATTTCTCATGGCAGAAAGAGTTGCTTAGAGCAAAACAGATCTAGAAGTAATGGAGGCAGATATTCAATGGAGGGGAAGAAAATTTCCTGTCTGCTTTCTGTTCATGGAAGTCAACAAGTCGGTGTAAATCTGTCCTCCTGCTGTATGCTGCCATGGGTGCCCATGGTTTGCTGCTCTCCTGACCGCGCCGTGTGCCGTACCTTCGCAGTTTGTTCACATGGCGCTTGCCCACGAGCTGCTGAGCCATCAGGGAGGTCCCTCCTGTGCCTACTACCTGGCCCTGGCACAGACCCACCTGCTGAAGGAAGATCTCTCCAAATGTGAGGAATGTCTCTGCGAGGCCATGAAGATCGACTACATGGTAATTCCCTGCATGTTCCTGGGGCACAGCACCGTGTCCCGGAGCAGGATGATGGCCAAACGCCACAGCAGACCCTGCCCGTGTTGTCACTGCTGGTGAACCTGGAGCCCATGCTTCATTTGCACTTGAGCCATCCCAGTGTCAGTCTGCAGGGATTTCTGCAGGGGAGGACAGCCACAGCTCATGAACCACATCAGGCCACGGTGGCAGCACTGCTCTCCTCATTACCGTGCTCATTACCCGCCTTGTGTCATCTCCTGCGCAGACAGTCGGCATTGCTGAGCGAGGGCTCCTCTCGCTGCGGCGTCTGCCTTGCTTTTCCCTTTGAACATTTTTCCATGGGTGAGTCAGGTTCTGTTTCATGACAAACAGGGTGGCTATTCAGAGGAGGCTGACATCTCCAAATGCTCACTGCATGCTCCCAATACCTGGGGAGCCTCGCAGGGGCCAGGACACCATGCAGGGAAAGGCTGGAGGGGGAGCTCCCAGTGTTGGTGTTATTCAGGCAGTCCGCTGACTTGATTTTAACTCTATGTAAAATCTGCCCTGCTATAATTAAACACCAGTCAGCTCTTCCTTTCTGCTGATTACAGGGGTCCCTTCCCCTCTCCCAGGTCTCTCTCCCTCCCAGCTCCCAGCCATGTCTCACTCTTGGTTTTCTGTGCACAGAATCCAAATGTCTGGGCTCAGAAAGGGCACCTGTGCTACCTGCAGAGGGACTTTGGCAAGGCAAAGGAGTACTACGAGCGAGCCATGGGTTTCATGGAGGATGCTGCGGATATGCACTTCATCTACCTGCGCCTGGGCTCCATCTACCTGGAGGAGAAAGAGGTGAGGAGCCAGCAGCCATGGAAAAAGGGAATTTTACACTAAGCTGTAGATTCCAGACCCCAGTTGTAGCTATAGCCAAGATCTCACAACACAGCAAAACCTTGGGGTGCTGCACTCCTTGGAGCACAGACCTGCCCTGTCCCTTTGTGCCCAGCTCAGCTGCAAGGTCTCAGGGTGCCACAGAGCCATTCTCATCATCCCAGCAATGAGGGGGACTTCTGCGTTAGTACCTGTCACCACAGAGCCACCGTGCTGGGGGCCGCGGGCAGGCTCTTAGCCCCCCCCGGCAGCGGAGGGGACAGCGGGTGTCTGAGCCCCACCGGAGATGGGGCGTTTGGTAAATTGCTGGGGAGGGGGGTGTCTGCGGAGTGATGGATTTGATGCAGAAACATGACTGTCTCTCTCCTGCAGTATCGGCGGGCGAAGCAGACCTACCTCCTCGCCTGCAAGGACTCTGCGTCCTGTCTGACCTGGCTGGGGGTGGGAATTGCCTGCTACAGGGTAAGTGCAATTCCCTGCAAGTCATCCGTGCTTTAATTGGCTCTGTGGCATGGGATGCAGGGCTTGCTTTTGCATCATCTCCTTTAATAAAGTAAAGCTTAGCTGCCTGGGAAATCCATACTCCTGGCTGAGCTGCCATCCCAGCCACAGCGTGGCACCCCAGGCTGCTCCTACGGGAGGTGTCAGGGGACAGTCACCCTCAGCGGCTGCTCTGGGAGCAGCAACCCTTCCCCCCTGTCCCACTGCCAGCACCTCCTTCCCCAGGAGGTCACGGCTGGCATGTAATCTGGGCCTGGGCTTTGCTCTGGGCGCCCGCCTGCACGTGACCGGCGTGTCACCGGGAAGGCATTGAGCAGAACGTGAGCACAGAGGAATCTCAGTGCTTTCCCTGCCCAAAGGAACCCAGCGCCTCTGAAGGGCTGCTGAGGACACCCAGAAGCGTGGTCTGTCCCCGAGGTACAGCCAGCAAGGCTCCTCCGAGGGCATTTGGCTGAGGGAAGCAAACAGGGAAGGAACTGGAACTTCTCGGATTCCCCCTTGGCCAAACGCACACCTCCTGGGAGGCTGTGGACCAGAGCCAGGGAGGCGAGCGGTGGCCTGGGGGAGCTGCCTGCAGCCCAGTGGGCATCAGTCCCCCTGCCTCCGGGAGTCACCATGCAGCAGGAAGGGGGATCCGGACCAGGGGGGATGTTTCCCTGTGGAGCTGGACCACTGGGTTCCTGGAGGTGGAGGTGTTTGTGTGTCTTTCCTCACAGCTGGGGGCTGATTTGTAAATACAGCCTGTGCTCCCACGGGGGTCAGGAGGCAGCAGTCACAGGCTTGCCCTCCAGAGTGGAGAGCTGGGTGCTGGCATGAAGATAACAGGTTGTCTTTGCCATAAATCCTGTCCCTGCATCCCTAGCAGGGAAACTCTGCAAGGTGCTTTTATTGCATTGATTTCTTCGGCTGTTAGAGCTGATGCCTGTTGGGTTCTGAAGCCCATTCTGCCTGCTGTTTGCCTTTTGTCCATGACTCTCTTTCTCTCTCTCAAGCTGGAAGAGCTGGCGGAGGCAGAGGATGCTCTCTCTGAAGCCAATGCCCTAAACAACACCAATGCTGAAGTGTGGGGATATCTCTCCCTCATCTGCCTGCAGGTGAGTGCCCAGCCAGCTTCTCCCTCCGCCAGCCAGAGAGAGCAGGGAGGTTTTATCAGCATCTGTTCAGGAGCCTGGAGAACATGGAGTAATCTCAGTGGTAAAAATAGTTTGGGGACTGTGCTTGGATGGCAAAAGCAGTGCCCTTCCTCACTGCCCATCATTGCCTCATGCACATATTCCCCTGGGGCACATCCTTCGTGCTGAGATTTCTTACAGTGCGTAACTTCACTGCGATCCTGTGCCTGTCCTGCGGGACGGCTCCTCACCAGCTGCTCTTGTGTCGTTTCTGCAGGGAGGACGGCAGCTGGAGGCAGAGCAATGCTACAAATACACCATCAAGGTTTGTGTCTCTGCCCTGCTGTGGGGTTGGCGGGGGGGTCACAGGCAGTTGGCAAGCAGGAGGAAGGAAGCCGGCCCGGAGTGTTCCCCCAGCACAGAGCTCTTGTCCTTTTAACCTGAAAGTTTAATGTGATAAC